GAGTATACGCAAGTGCATTCACCTTCCTTTCTCCTTTAAACCCTTCTAGTCCACAAGATATCTAGCTTTACTGTGGACCCGGTAGAAACTCGTTTCTTAATTAAATAGATTATTGGTTGATTTGTTCATTATTCTATGGGTTTTTTCGGGTGAGTTATTAGTTTTCTATTTTTCCTTATCCCCGGCAAGGTCTCATCTATCACGAACTGGTCTCTAATCCATTCACTTCCCTTGCAGAGTGATATGGACGCTGATCAGCAGGAAGAAAATGGAGCAAATGTGGTAGGAAATAGTAGTTTTGCAATTGCAAAGAATAGCTCCATAAAGAAAAGGAGGTCAGTAAAGAAGGACGTTGAGGAGATGAAGAGCGATGAAAAATGGCAGGGAAGATGGGGACAAATCGTGGCCCAAGTCACCAGAATTTAGAGAAATCGGTACTGTCATTGACGCAGAACCGGTACTTCGCCAGTCAAACCCAACTGGAAACATACGGTTATCCAGACATCCACATGGGAAGAGTGATTATGGTATGACATCGTAGGCCAGCGAGACCTGGATGGTAGAATTTTCCATATGTGTGGAATTGCGTGAAGGCGTAAGTCTTGGATCCGATTTTTCTCATTAGTATTATTTATCTGCTTTGCCTAATCAAAGGTTTCACTGCCTCTTGCAGCTCAATTCCTCCATGCTGTTGCCATCTCCCCATAACTTCTCATGCTTTGACACCTACAGAACCCAACTTCGATCCAGAAATCAGCAACATTCGAGCAAAAGGAATTCCGAGAATTCTATTCTGCACCTCCAATTAACAAACAATTTTCCCGCACATCCTTTATCAAACGTTTGTAGATTTAAATTGAGATTCCTTAAATAAGCCGTCCTCTTAGCCTTCCACGTGGACAGCACAGTGCAGACCTTAATTACACAAGTATTGGCCGTTTGGGTGGGTAAATTGTATAGGGGTTAGTGTGGGGGCTAGGCAGTCGACTACTTCTAACAGTCATCGAGTCATCACGTTATCACTTTCTTATGCTAAGACGCCAGAATGATGGTTGAGATTGGGGGTGGAGATAACACCGGGTGAAGAATGTTGGCAGTGATTCATTCATAAATGCAGTGGATACACACAAGTTTTGAGACCTCTCCTCTCTCCTTCTCTAAATTCAAATGTGCCTCATCTCGGCTCAACACATAGTAATTTCTTTTCATAATAATTCATACATTTAGGAGAACAATTAAAACAGTCAACGCCGCCAGTCGATTACTAGTTCACACTGCCACCCATCTTGGCCACTTCGCAATGCTACCCTTCATCGAGGAAAAATATCATTTCCAACAGGAGTGCTCCTCATTCAAGTCAGCCAAGTCAACAACATGCATTTCTTCTCTCCTGTCCCCACGTCCCGGAACTTAATTTGAAGTATTAGCACTTTTAATGGTCTGATGAAACAACGTTGCTTAATATTATCAGAAGCGAGGGACGATTTCCACTGGAATTGTTTTCATCGTGCCATCATGCATCTGAAGCATAGCTCAAAACTAATCCACCGCTTTGGCTTTAAAACGGATTATTTGAAAACGCTCTAGAAGGTGATGATGAAGGTAGATCAAAATATGCAAATTCTTGCATATTGTGGAGGCTGGGCGATAGCTCATAACTTTGATGTTAGGCCTATGTCAGTTACATGTGAATTGGTGTAGTTGGGTTTTTTTTCACTATGGTTATGGAAGCGCACGGGTCGCTGGCACATTCATTAAGAGCTGTCCAAGACAAAGCCAACCTATGCAGTTTTATGCAAGACCACGAAGACTGCCAAAGTGTGCTGGTGCTTTTAGGTGGACCTAGTGGCCACACATTTCTCACTCCTACAGCCATCATAATGACGACCTTGATGTGCACTGAAATTCCATGAAAGGGCGGCAGTGGGCCACTAAGAGAGAGAGGGAGAGAGTAGATGTTGACGGCACTCCCTCTTTATTCGGTCCCATGCATAACATGCCTATTAGTCTGCAGTCCGTCCTGAGTACGTTTCTGGTGTTCTATTTTACCTCCTAACTGAATAACTTAAGTAGCACCCGCAACCATGTAAGCATCAGATTAGCACAAG